CGTCTTCATAGATGCTTTTTATCTTTAGCATGAGCTTTTTAAGCGCGCCTTTATGTATGCTCTAAATGTTTATTACGTGTCAAGACGCATGTAGCAAATGTTTATCATGTGCTTTATAATGTGTCCAGGCTCATGTAATAAATGTTTATCATGTGTTTTAGAATGAGTCCACATGCATGCGCTAAATATTTATCGTGTATTTTGAAATATGTTCGAATGCATGCTCTGAATGATTATCATGTGTTTTAGGACGTGTATACAAGCATTCAGTAAATGTTTACCATGCGTTTCGAAATGTTTCAACGTGCATGCACCAAGTGTTTATCATGCATTTCAGAATGTGCTTACATAAAAGCACTAAACGTTTATCATGTGTCCACATATATGCACTAAATGTTTATCATGTGTTCACATACATGCACAGAATGTTTATCATGTACTCACACATATGCACTAAATGTTTACCATGTGTCCACATACATGCACTAAATGCTTATCATGTGGACACATACATGCACAGAATGTTTATCCTGTGTTCACAGACATATGCACTAAATGTTTATCATGTGTCCACATACATGCACTAAATGTTTATCATGACTGTGTCCACATACATGCACTAAATGTTTATCAGGTGTTCACATACATACACTAAATGTTTATCATGTGTCCACATATATGCGCTAAATGTTTATCATGTGTCCACATACACGCACTAAATGTTTATCATGTGTCCACATACATGCACTAAATGTTTATCATGTGTCCACATACATACACTAAATGTTTATCATGTGTCCAGATATATGCACTAAATGTTTATCATGTGTCCACATACATGCGCTAAATGTTTATCATGTGTCCACATACATGCACTAAATGTTTATCATGTGTCCACATATATGCATTAAATGTTTATCATGTGTCCACATACATGCGCTAAATGTTTATCATGTGTCCACATACATACACTAAATGTTTATCATGTGTCCACATATATGCACTAAATGTTTATCATATGTCCACATACATGCGATAAATGTTTATCATCTGTCCACATACATACACTAAATGTTTATCATGTGTCCACATACATGCGATAAATGTTTATCATGTGTCCACATACACGCGCTAAATGTTTATCATGTTTTTCAGACATACATGCATGTCCTAAATCTTTATGATGCGTTTTGGAATATCTTTGCTAAATATTATCATGTTGTTTAGAACGTGTTCACATGTATATCGTGCTTTATCGTATATCATGCGTGCTTTAAATGTATATCATGCGCTTTAAAACGTGTCTACATACGTGCACTAAATGTTTATCATGTGTTTTCGAACGTGTCTACGTCCACGCCCTACATGTTTATTATGTAGTTATAATTATCGTTAATTTTACATATCGTGAGGTAAGAGAAATTGCACATAAATGACGCCGTAGCTTCTGCTTTAATATGGTATGCAACAATTTGTATATAAATGCGCTATGCATGTATATATATATATTTATATATATATATATATATATATATATATATATATAATGTGTAAGAATCAGCTACGAGAATTTTACATGTATGTACATGTATGTTTCGTTGCTACTATACGAATAATGACTGGCCTGCAAGTTGACGCTATACGATATGCATATATTTGTATGCTTAGTCACGCCTGTTACTCGCGTTATATAGGCACGGATATATAATCACGATGGATCATAGATACAATAATGTAACACAATAAGAGTAGTGTACTCTTGTCGAGTTACATTATTGTATCTAGATGGACCATGGTGGTGCGACGGTTTTTGGTTCACATTCAAGCAACGTATATTCGGCGCATGCGTCAAGTAACGATGACGTCATGATCGCGCACATTTCGAGTGTCCATTGTTCTTTCCGCGGCATGTTGTTCATATCTTACGAACGTGGCTATCTATCTATAAACTTTCTGTGCCGAACTACATTGGTCAATGATATTCCTAACTTGTTATGGTAATTGACATGTTGAGTATGCCCTACCCAACATTGGAATGTCAGACGAGGATGTGTAAATTCGGCCTCCGTTCGTGTCGCCCTGTTCTAGGCGCAAGATTACTAATTATATGTTTCATTAACCTCTGGTGGGTTTTGACAATGTTGTTGCTGATATTTAACACCAAAGGCGTAGAAGAATTTACGCGAAATATTCTGCTGCTATTTATACAAAATTTCCCGTCTCAAATTTTGTATAAACGTATATATAAGTCATGTAAGCACAGCGAGAATGCTGCTTATATTGTAAATATTCGTTTAGAAATAAAGGAGACGCTACTTTTGTGATTGAAAATATTGGTCTTCGCTTTTCTTAATGGTCGTATAGACATTTTGCGTGGATAATCATTGTTACAGGATTCATGGTAAATTCAGACGTAAGTGGGTATATATGGTGTCAGGACAAATACCCCCCGGACAATCACCCCCCGGACAATTACCCCGGACAATTACCCCGGACAATT